CCCCAAAACCCCAAAACCCCAAAACCCCTTAAAGAATATAATAATTGAAATCACAGTCTATCTTTTAAAAAATATGCTAAATGACGATAAAAACCTGCTGATTAGGAAAAGCTTCATCAGGTCAAAAAAGAAGATGATGTCAATCCCTCCTAAAATCAAGCCAAGACCTAAAATTTCCCATATCGGCAACTACTCACAAGTGTTAATTTCTGAGTAAGCATAAGTTTTTACCCCATATTTCATCAACTCAAATAACTGTAAAATAGCAAGCAGAAAAGTCACTTTAGTCCAACGGCAAAGCCTAAACCCTGCAAAGATAACTTTCCAATCATCAAGCTCTCAACTCCTGATATCACAGAAAGTTTGATTGACCTGCACAGTCCGCAGAAAGAAAAAGATAGCAGAAATATCAAGAGAATGAAAAGGTTCGGAGAGTAAGACTTTCACACAATCAAAATAGAGCTTTCAATAAAGTAAAATGCTTCAGACCTCATATGGAATTCGCTTCAGAATCAGAGTAAATTCTAACTCATCTTTTAGAGATTCTTTTTCTCATCAAAATCCTGGGAACAAAGCTACTAAATAATTGGAAACTTATTTCTGACGTTGTCCTTAAGACTAACAAAGCTCAATTTCTCAATTGGATGGAGGAGATAAACCCAGAAGCATATGAACAACTAATCAACACCAACAAATCAGTTGAAAACGTAACAACAACTAGCAAAAAGAGAAGTGAAATTTCTCAAGACAACGAGAAGGAACCAGAAGAAGAAAAACAAAAGGTTAAGAAAAATGTTACTAAAAAGTTTTCAAAATACAAGAACATCCTTCACAAAGCTCTTGCCAAAATGGTCTTCAAATATTACTCAGAGATTGCCAAAAATATAGGTATATTTTTAGTACAAAAATAGAAACACAGAAGAAATAAAAGACGAAGTCTCCCAAAACCTCGGAAGAAAGATAGTAAAACTACACTGAAGAAAAGTAGGAAGGCATCTGTTCATAAAAGTCAATTTTTAAGGAACAGGAATTCTACAAATATAGGCAAGAACAAGATTGATCCTATACATAACAGCAAGAGCATACCTAAAAAGAAGGCTTTAACAAGATTCAACTCAGAAATGAAAAAGTTTCTAAAAGTACCTACCAAGGATTCTTTTGATACTAGTGAGAAGGATTCTAAGATACAAGAGTCTCTTGAAAGGGGATCCCGCTATAGTTCTATAAGTAACCAATCTTTTATTGAAAGAACAAATGAGAAAAGATCTCACAGCTCGTTCTTAAGATCTCCAATTCCTTGATTTCCGAAGAAAATAAAAATAATGAACATAAAACCAGTGAAGCTATCTCAAAGTAGACTTAGAAATCTGTACAATTTTGAAAATGAGAAAGAGCTACCTTTAGATAATTGAAAGAAAGAACTCTTACTTAGACATATACAGAAAGGAAACATCTTCAAGAAAAGAAGACGAGGAAGAAATTTTAGAAATCTAATCAAATCTTTTGACCAGATTAAGCCTGAATTTGAAAACTCTGTGATTGGAGAAATTGCTCAATCTAGATTTTCAAGAAAAAGTACAGGAGTGTCAAGATCGTCATTGAAGAAATAAACAATTATCAAGGTTCTTATCTGGACCAAAAGAATTAGAGAATAGAGAGGACGATTTCTTGAGTCATAAAGGCATTCCACCCTCAACACAAAATTGGAAAATCTTACCCAGTAAATTTTGTTAAAACTTTAGAACTCTCCAAGCAAAAGTTAAAACATATGAAGAAGAAATTCAAAGAAATAATGAATTACAAAGGAACTCCAGAGCTCCCTATCGCTTGCAGCCCCCAAATCCCAAATATCATAACCCCATAAGAAAACCTCTTGAAGGTATGTATGATCTCCATATTACTTCTTGAAATGATTCAAGATAAGGACTATAAATCAGCCAATTTTCGATAAAAGTACCCAAACCATCAAATAATTTTCATATTTTAACTAAAATTTCAAGAATTCACACAGATCTTTAAGTATAATTACTCCACAATTTCAAAATAAAGGAAAGGGGTTTTGGGGTTTTGGGGTTTTGGGGTTTTGGGG